AAGAAGAGAAGGAGCAAGAAGAGAAGGAGGAAGAAGAGAAGGGCCCGACGATGGAGGAGGAGGAGGAGATGGAGGAGGAGGTGGAGGAGGAGGAGGCCACGACGACGGAGGAGGAGGAAGAAGAAGAGGAGGACGAGGAGGAGGAGGAGGAGGAGGTGGAGGAGAAGGAGGACGACGACAACGAGGAGGAGGAGGAGGAGGAGGAGGAGGAGGAAGACGAAAAGGAGGAGGACGAGGAGAGGAGAAGGGGAAGGAGGAAGATAGGAGAAGTGGAAGGAGGAGGAGGAGGAGGKGGAGAAGGAGGAGGAGGAGGTGGAAGAAGGGAAGGTGGATCACCTAGCATGGGCGGGCGATGGCGCGTGGGTTTGCGCTCGTCGATGTCGGAGTTCGGCAATGGCACCACCGAACTCGGGCGACAGCGCGCGGGCCAAGACGTGCGGGGGAGAACGCCAGTGCCCCCGATTTCGAATTTGAAAATAGCCCAATCTGGGTCGTCGATCTCGCAGATCTGACGGCCTAGATTAGGCCTTTTTTTTTCGCTTTTGGAGGCCCTACCGGCCTCCAACAATGCTTCCCGTCGGCGCCCCGGCTTCGCCTGTCCCCGCAGTCCGCCCCTGTGTCTCCCAAGTCTGTGTCCTAGACCCCCCCTATTTTTTTTTTTGCTCGGACATAGTGCCCCAGGCTGACGCCTGACCGGTTGTCCAATCGGACAATCACGGACGGTCAGGGGGGTCCTTGACATCCAATCAGGTAACCTAACTTTTTTTTTTTTTTTTTTTTTTTTTTTTTACGGAGCCCAGTGCCCAAGGCTGATATTTCAAATGATAAAAACGAGGTCGGGGTTCTCACAGTCTACCCAGGTATATTCTTGTATGAGAGCCTTACCCAGTTTCCCTTTTTACTGAACCTCGAAGGGACCCTGATTCAAGAAACACCGACCAGACTTATAATGAGTAAGATGACTGCCTCTTCAGCCATATATGAGCCGTCAGATGTAAACATGACACAACAAGTTAGGTGCACCTTACTCTTATTCTTATTACTTAAATAATATAATAATCATTGACACTAATGTATGCAGGCCTTTCATGTAGTTTCCACCCCATACCATTGAAGATCAACTACAGCCAGATCCGAAGGTGGAAAAAATTTAGGAAATCAGTCTGGGAATTTCAAAGAGGCTCCTGGTTGTATATTCATCCAACTATTGAAAATGATGTAATGGTCTCTCTTGAAGTCTGCATCTCCTTCCCCACCATTCCATTTGATTACCCCTAAATTCTCCCCTGATGTATCCCCCAACCAGTTAGTTTGAAATTTGTGCAGAATTTTTGTAATGTCTTGTTTTTTACTCTCTGATCTGATTATAATTTTGGCTTTGCTCCATTGTGCTCTGATTTCCGTTTGAACAAAATATTGGACTATTTCAATGATTTCCTGGCCCTCAATTCTTACCCCTTCCCAAGACAATACACACCTTTCAAACCACCATGCCCAAAGTAATGCTTTCCTTCCTATATAGAATAGATTTGTTTGGAATTCTGATGGATTTTCCATTATTGGAGGTCAGTGCCCCAAAAGCAGTGCACGCCAGTCCCATAGCCAGTCCAATCTAGTGATTCTATTCCAAATATGATCTCATCTTCTCCACAGCAATTTGGCCATTGGGAATTGTAAAAATGTGTGTTTTATATTTTCTCTTATTTTTCTACTTGGAAATGCTTAGCTACCGTTGGGACACCATGATAAAGCCAATCCTTTTTGTTCAAGAGAGGAATGGTCAATTAGTCAATCAAAGGTTCGTAAACACCTATGGATTATTTGTCATTGTAATGAAGCAAATTTTTCTGGTCTCTCCTTAAGGTCTTTACACCATTTAACAGTTGTTAGTCTATCGATGTGGATGTTAAGGTGTCAGACTCATCTATCCTTCAAAATGGATATGACATCTATTTTCGGTCGAAGGATGCAATATGAGGCTTTAAGTGTAAGAGAGTGCAGTCTCTGAGGGTTACTTCTCCTATTAGCCCTCCATACCCATTCCAAAGGATCCAAAGGTAGGTAAATGATTGACAATTCGGGGAAGAAGGTTTTCCAACTTTTTGTTGATGAAAAATATAAAACTCTAATCTTATACATTGTAGCTTCAGGGAAGAAGGCAACTTCATTTTGGTTCATTTGAGAGATTGAGCAATCTTAACTCATTCTGCATAGGTTAACCATCGACCCTTCCTTATGGGTATCCATAATTTGACCAGTAACTATATCTCCCCATGGTTGAATAACTCTCACCCATTCCGCTTCTCTAAATTCCAAACCTTTTTGGAGAAGCAGCATTCATGCTAGAGGGATAGATGATGTTATTTTGTCTAAATTATTAACCAAGTTACGAGCATATTTAATCTATTTTTTCAGTACATCCACTGATTTCCAACATCTGTTCCTTAAGTCTCACAAGTCCTTAATTCTAATTATTCCTGCTTTAACCCAGGTTAACCAAGGGTGTTGGGAACTAGTATAAACTCTACCATCAGAATCTCTGATTCCACCTATTGCCAAAAATAGGATGCCTGAGGACCTCTTCGTATCTAGAAGGTGAAAATTTGTTAGGGAGGGGGGGGGGTTGCCATGTTTTCAGCAATTCTGACCAGAAGTTATCCAATATTAAGTCTCTTATGACTGCTTTTTTTTCCCCAACCTTTTGTGAACCTGCATTTTGTCTTGGTATGGTCCAGTAGCGGCCGTCCACCCAAGTGAGGAGATTAATATTATTAGAAGTGGTAGGGGCTAGTCTTCGGATCTGTTATAGTGCCAAAGGCTAGCATGAGATGTCTATTCCAAATATAAGTTTTTTAATATATTGAAGTCTCAATGCTTGGCATTGGAGAAACGGATCCAATAATTCAATGCCTCCTTCAACTTTCGGCTGGAGAAGAGTGTCCCAAGCAACTCTAGGGATAACGTTCTCAGTCTTATGGTCCCCTCTCCACAAGTAGGCCCGGAGTTATATTTTACGTTTTTTTGCTGATTTTTTTTCAAGAGATCATAAAGCGGATTTATACCACATGGATGCTAGAACCACATTATTTAGGATAAAAGTTCTTCCAAAAAGATATGTGTGTTGGTTACACCATTTCTTTATTTTTTTCAATGTCGGTGTTGAAATCCATACATTATTAGTATCTGGCTTACCTTGTGTTATGATATCCAAAACTCTAATTGGTGTTTTTTTAGGGAGCCATTTAACCCTTGGACTTTCATGTGGTCTATCCCCTTAGGAACGTATCCACCATCCCAACGTTTTATTATCCCAGTTGACAATAATATCAGAAAGTAGTAATTTTTTTTTCATAAGCGCCTTTATTCCTTCCATATTCTGAGGGGTTGCCTCCATCATAATTGTTAAGTCATGAGCAAACATGAAATAAATTGGATGCTTCTTCTGGGATCCCTGCTATTTGTAGTCTTTTGAGATGAGGATTGATCCTTAGATATGCTCCCAGAGTTTCCATGACGATTAAAAATAAAAAAAAAGTCAGTGGATCGTCATGCGTCACTGATCTTTACAGACGAATCTCATGTGAGAGTAACCTATTGACCTGCACCCTAGTGGTAGCATTGAAGTGCAAAATGTGAACTCACCGTCTAATGATAGGTCCAAATTTTAATTTTTCTAGGCAGGCATCTAGAAATTTTCAATCAACATGATCATATGTTTTTTCAAAGTCAATAAATATAATTGCTGCATTTTGTTGATTTTGTCGTGATAATTTTATTATTTCATTTATTAGTATTACATTGTCTTGGATATTTCTTCCTTGAATGAAACTAGTCTGTGATGGGTGAATGATATTTGTCATTATAGGAATAAGTCTGTTGGTTAAGGCTTTGACTAACATTTTATATACAACACTTAGGAGTGTAATTGACCTATAATTCTTAATGTTAGATTCGTCTCCTTTCTTATATAAAAGGGTAAGAATACCTTGACCAACAATTTCTTCCATTTGTCTTGCAGTCAGGATTTGATTATGATATTTCATTAAATCGTTCGATAAAAAGTTCCACATAGTTCCCCAAAATTCCTTTGGAAGACCATCAATTCCATGTGTTTTATCCTCCTCCATCTGTAGTAGTGTCATCCAAATCTCATTTTTTGTGACTGGTTCTTCTAGTTTTATCCTTTGTTGTTGTGTTAGTGTCTGTTTCATCGGGGCTAAAAAAAATTGTAAATCCATGTCGTCTTGGACACCATTTATTTTGGAAGGAAAAAAATCATTGAAAAAGTCATAAACAACTTTTAAACTCCTAGCGGATGTGGTAGAGTCTCCTTAGTAAGGAATGATAAGATTTTACAAAGCCTCAATAGTAAATCTTCTATCTCTTATTCGAGCACGAACAAAAAAAGAAACTTTCATTTATCCTTCTGTTTCATGTTTAGTTAATTTTTCCCTAATTAAGTGTCTCTGCCAACGTTGTTTAGCAAATGATAAAAGCTGGTCTTTTAAGGATTGTAAGTCAGTTGTTGTATTCGAAAGTACTGAATGATGTTGTTCATAGTTCAATATTTGTTCTTGAATTTCTATTTCTTGGGAAAATCTTGCTTTGGTCATTAGTTTAAAATATATATTTTTTTGGCTAGAAATACTAACCCATTGTTAAACCATGAGATGTAGGTGTCATGTTTATCTTTTGTCGATTGCTAAAATTTTCATACTTATTGAATAAAATCCCTAAAACCTCTTTGAGGCAGTAGTGAGGTATTCGATTTGTAAAATCCTCTACTTTAGTTTGTTTTTTTGCGAAAGGACAAAAGAACAACACACATCTTATGATCGCCCCCAGACCATGAGCTTTGTGGAAAAATATTTGCTCCGATCATAGCTCGATCAAGGTCATTAGATAACATGATTAGATTTATTCTTGACCTGGATTGATGAGAAGATAAACAATTTCTAATGCATGTAAAAAAAAATTCTTGTGGAAATATTATCCTATAAGAGTCAAAGAGTTTTTGTGATTCGCAAAATTTCTGAATAATTTTCTCATCTTCTTCCACATATGATGGACACTAGTGGGGGATCTTCCAGCGATCCAACCATCTATCAAGGGCTGCATTAAAATCCCCTGCTATCACCATAGAGATGTCCTTTAAGTTAGGAATATGATTATAGATATCGTTATAGAATTGGCTTCTTTCAGTTAAATCATTAGGGGCATAAATGTTCATGACACCTATAAGTTCTATTTCTAACATTACTATAGCCATGATCCAATGCCCCTGTATCTTGTCTGCCTCCTAGTGGATTATTTCCATTCGGGAGTCAGGTGGAACCCAGAAGGCCACTCCTGCTGATCCACTATGTTGAGCATGAGCAGTGAATTTTTGAAAGGCCATGCCAGTCTATGTGCTCTTTGGTGAGCTGGGGTGTCCAGGGGGTGAGTCTCTTGAATGCAAATAAGATCAGGCCAGGTACGCCCTCCCACCCCTTTGAATTGTTCTACTAAGGCTCTCCGTTTAACTACATCAGCTGTAGCCAACCCATTAACGTTTAGGGATCTTAAATCCA